GGCGGGCCGTGCCAAGCCCCGCCGGCCCCCCCCTGCCTCGCCTCCTGCAGCAGCACCGCCCCAAAGGCAGGGGGTGGCAAGGGAGAGGGAGAATTTCCACACCAGCAGCCTCCTGGCACCCGGCGGCACGCACGCTCGCCTCATTTGGCTGCACGGGTGGGGGAAGCGCCTTAGATCAGCCCATAGCGCAAGGAGGTGCAGGCGTGCGAGTTAGTCAGGCTACCAGCCACAGGGCGGGGGAAACGAAACTGCTCCAAACCCGACTGCGCTCAACGCCAGCGCAACCCCGCCATGACTGCTTTGCTTCAACGGCCCCCAAAAGAGGTAGGACAAACACTCCCAGGAGTAACCTGCTTCACCTTCATTTATTTTTGTCTTTAGTTGTGCATTTTTTCCAACGACATCACATTTCTACAGCATCTTTACGCTATCCGCCACCTCATGCTTCAGCAGTTCCAAGTTTCTCCGGTGAGCTGCTGGTATCACTATGCAAGCATCTCATTCTCTTCCCTACAGACCCAACCGGTTTCCCAGTCACATCAGGTGTACGCCGCCTACAAAGAGGGGAAGGTTTCCAACAGACGAGAAACATAATCAAAGCCCATGCTCACCATGGCAGTCAAATCAACTTTGAAAGTCATTGCTATTTGGTTTTAAATCATAGGATTATGCTCAGGCATTTGCAACTGGATCCCCAGCACCCGTATTTGTCAAGGCTCAGAGGAAGTTACAGGTTTGCAAGTTGTAACTACATTATCAGTTTTACAGAAGTCACATTTATAGTCAGATCCCCATCATTAGTTAATATCAGAACTCTGATATTGATCCGAGCCAGTGAAAAAACTATTAAACCCCAATTAAAACCTCTACAGTATTAAATGTTTCTTTAAAAAAAAACCCTAAAACAACAACTATTTGATTACTCAAGAACATTAACAGAGAGAGATTTGAAGCAGAAGTCTGTGCATAACTGACAAAACCCTTGCGTAAAGCAAATTTACAACAATTAACAGTATATACCCTGAAAGAATGGAGGGATCAGTCAAACCAGAAAGGGTAAGCAGAGAAAGCAGAAGTAACTGATCTAAGTCTATGAGGATATATCGGATTGCTACAGGCCACACACAAACTTATGTCAACACTCAAAGTAGAAAGTTCCATTTTTCACCCTCCTCTCTGGATCAGGAGGTCAATTGGTCAACGTACGGATGAAATGCATTACTAAGTATAATACTTGAAAAAATAATTTGCACAGGAACAAAATTACTCAAAGCTCATCACTTTCTAAGCTTAAACTGAATAGCATTGGGTATGAAATTCTTTTAAACATTCATCTGCAAAATGAAGAGACCATAAACAGCTTGGAAATACACTGCGCACTGACGGACCCGAGCACCTAAGGCAGTGTCTTTGCCATTCATCACTGCTTACCGTAATACAGACCACTCTGGTTTGGCGTTTATGTACGTAACGTTATTTGCATAACTCAAAACTAAGGCTACTCTATTTTCAGGTTGTGTTTTCCCAGTCTAAGTCTCCTGTGAGATATCAATTAATTGAGCATTAAAATGCTTTCTGAAGACATGGGAGCCGCGTGCTGCTGTCACACTTTAAAGCAAGGGAAGGGTAGCAGATGTAGCCGCCGCAAAGCAGTTGTTACTAAGCCAGGCAAGGTGAGGGCACTTGGTTCATCCGCCGTCACTACCAGAAGAGATTCCTGGCACCACTGCAGGCCTGCAGGTCCAGCCCAGCGCAAGCTCAGCAGCCCAACTAGTTACAGGCTGAAATAAAGGAACAAGCTGAACACTCCCCTGCCCTCTCCCCTGGCATCTGGGGCTGGAGTTCCCATCGCCCAGGTAAGGCGGCTTGCAGTACAGAAGTCGACGGTTTGTTCCGCTCCGGCTCTTGCTTACTGTCTCTATTTACCAGTGAAGACTGCTGCCAGGAGCAGCCCGTGACTCTTCGACCATGCTGCAGAAAGGACTGCGTTTTTCAGAAGCTGTCCATGAAGTTCCTCTACCGATTGTTTATAGCTACGGTAATAAGACACTAGACAATACATTTAAAAAAAACATATTTCAATTGTATTACAACCATGTTCTTTCGAACGGTGAAAATCTAGCTGGCTTGGTAATAAACAAATCCATATGCTCTATACTACTTTGAAAGCTTAAATCAAGTGTTTCACATGCCCAAAGTTAAGACACTTTTCCTGTGCCGTACTAGAGAGCTTACCACACAGCTCACTGAGAAGGTGCATTCCCTTTCATACTCACAAAACACTATGAACGCATTTCTGCAATTCCTTTGATTTAAGGGCCAGGCAAAGGTAACAAATTCTACTGTTTGGGTGTTTTTTGTTTGTTTTTTGCCTGATTTTTATTTTTATATAAACAACAGGGCAGAAACAAAAATACTATCATGAAGTCAAGAGTCAAACCAAATTAAAAGACAACAAAAAGAATCCATACTTTACTTCATGTCTATCCCCTATCAGTCATTTCTTGTAAGGCTTATGATGCTTACACAGTTTGCTGTTGGTTAGAGTACTGTATTGTTTTATCTAGGAGCACATAAAAGCCAGTTTTAGTCAAAAATTTCTTTCATCCCCATGTCAAGTTTTCCCATTAAAAAAGAAAAAATTAAATTCCTTGAAGACCTCCAGACAAGACTCTGCCCGTGAACGTGAATAATCCTCAGGCCTGCAGAGCACAGAACTGCTGAAACACAGCCAGTATGTGGTGGTCCAGTTCAGCTGTAAACAGGAGGTTCTCTAGGGTCACCATGTACTGCTGGATTATCTGGTGATGCTGGCAGATAAAAAAAAAACAAAACCACAAACCTTTATGTTTTCATTTATCTTTCTATAAGAACAGGGAGAGAAGCCAAGACATGTAAGAATCACAGGTCAAATGTTTTCATCAAAAGCGTTAAGCACATCTCATTTCCACAACACAGTAGCCAGTGACAAGAAAAGCATAACGCAGAGCCACTACTGATTGCAAGAAGAAAGCATGTGCTGAAATCCCATCTTGAGAAGCACTGTGCTCCCTGTAGCTCTTCACTCCTGGACCCCGAATTGTGTGTGGGATACCATGCAACTGCAGAGGTATCCTAGGAGAATCATGATGTTTGCTTTCCTCGGAAGCCACATTGACTACCAGGGAAGGGCTCAGCCCAGGGGAGAATTATACCACCACTCCCATTCTTCAACATATCTTCTACTCACACAGGTATAATTTTCTATTACTATCACTTTCATCCAGCCACCTATGCTTGTTACTTGATTTAATACAGAGCCAAGAATTTGAAAATTATTTTTAATATATTTATGCATCTTATTAAAAGGAATTAAACAATATTGTAATCCACTTATTTAAAAGACATCTATTCTTGTTCACTCACAACTTTGCCCTTATATGAACACACAGTTAAGAGGAGCTCAGCGAAATTAATAATCGCATCTCGGTATCTTTTTGCAGTACGCTCACAGTGTTGGAATTAATCAAGGACGAGTCACTCCACCAGTCTGTGGCAGACATGTGGCCAGAACCAGAGTTATGGCCTAGCCCCACACTAGCCCTCAGAGAAGACCTGCTGCTGCCACCTACTGCTACTCCCATGGAGCGCTCAGTTCTCCAGCCACAAAGCTTGTCTATCCAGCATGTGCTTGCCCACGGCCTTCCAGCTGGGAAATTAAACTTACCTGTAGGAAGATCTGCTGCAACCTCTCTATACAGCTCTTGTACCAAGGTGTAAATACATCAATCCCACCGGTTTCACAGCGCACTAAGTGCTCAGTTAACAACATAATGAAACGCTGCAGAAGAAAAAATAACACTTATTCAGTCTCGTCAAAGGAAAGCAGGATCCTAACCTCAGGTGAAAGGATCTAGAGGACAGAAGCTTTGAACAGCAATGTGAGAATAATTATTTTGTTTGGCAAACACTGAATTTAGTAAGCAAATAAAACTCAGTTACCTTCTCCTTCAGGATACTGTATGCTAGCGGAACTCCTCTGTTCCTGAGCGCTTGAAATTGAACAGATCCTGCTCAGAAGCAGTCTTTGCAGGGGATGATCTGGATTGACTCTAACCCATAGTAAACCCATCAACCCCTTCCCATATTCTTATTCCAAGAAGATGCCTGAGATACGAGTGAGACTGAAAGCTTATAAATCCAGTAACTCTAAAACCTGAAAGTGAGGAGAGACTTTGCCCATCATTACCTGGAATATAACAAGGAAGAGATTCTTCTGCTCACTCTGGGCTGACTCTACTTTCTCCTGCAAGCGCTCTATCTGCTCTTCTAGCGGCCCATCTTCCCGATCGCTGCTTCGGTCATCGTCGTCATCATCATCATCGCTGTCTCGCTATAAGTGACAACAACACAAGACTAACTAGCAACCTGCCTACCTGTGGTTACCATTAATGCCCTCTGGTTCCATGTGTGAAAAGGTCTGCAGAGCAACTGCAGAGCAGCAACTGAAGCTGCTCTGTAGTTTGGTAAGTATTGTATTGTGAAGGATATTTACTTTGAATATAATTCAGGAAAGAAATTTGGAAGACAAATGCCAATATGGGAAAGCCCTGGAAAAAAATAAAGGTTTCAGAGAAACCAGAGCAAGCTTCAAGATTTACTAGTCTTTTATTTATTGGAAACACAATAAAAGGTAATAACCCTGCTGACTTTATCATTGCCAGATAATGAACAGCTTTTAAAAAAAAAAAAAAAAACCAAACCAAACAGTGTAGATTTTTTAAATTGTGTCCACTGCAGCAGGGCAGGTAATTCATTTAATGAACAGTTCAGAAATCTCATGGCTCCAAAAAATAAAGCACTTTTGTGCAAGAACGCAGATGAAACCGGCTGGTTAGCACAAAAGGAAGACTACAGACTATAGCCCGTGGTGTTGGACCGGGGACTCCCTATATTTATGATCAAAAGGCATGCTCTCAGACTAGAAAGGGTCAGCATGGAAACCAAACTGCTAACTAGGACCATGGCATGTTCTCATTGCCTCAAAACCAAACTAACATAACAACCAAACCCACAAAATACCCATAAGTACCAGGCTTGGGAGCTCAGGTAACAAAGTCTTACATAAGACTACAAGGGATACAGGAGGAAAGGCAGAATCTGATGCATTACTGTACATCCAAATATAGCTATTGCTTCAGTCTCATAGGATTGTTTCTGTGCAAAAATACCCATAAATTAAGGGCTCAAAACTTCAAATATTTGTAAAAGGAGCATGTGCAACTTGTGACAACTACAAGGCCATGTGTTAACTCACCTACTGCATAGCAAATATAACTCACAATCAGAAGATAGTTACAGCTCTGAATAAGCGTAAAAAATAAAAACAACTTACCAGAGCAAGTGAGAATTTAATTTTATCCTCTCTATAGGAACTTGCTTTTTCCCCCACCTACAGAGGTTTCCTGAACTCAAAATGCTAAAGGACCAATAGGATCTAAGGGAAAGCGTGTAAGTCTTGGCCTCGTTCCGTAGTAAGGCAATCCACCTCATGCTGGGGACATCAAAACTTGCCAGCTTACTTCCTCTAAAAGGAACCGTCATGCAGCACAGCAACAGCCTGCAGAACTACTCACTGTTGCATACAAATGTCTCTTCCTGGCACAATACTCATTTAAAGTACTCAGTAACAAACAGCTGCAGCAAGAGACAAGTACAGAAATGAAAGCACTGGTATATTTGTTTAGAGATGCCAGAGAAGCTCTTTGGCTCACAGTAAGATCAATGACTGCATCTAGCTCTTCAATAATCATGGGCATTTATTAACTGCTGATCAATGTAGATTGAAGATGCAAGCAACTAGGATGGCTGTTGCTGGGAGTGAAGGAAACAAGATGAAGGGGCTGGGATGAACCGACACTGGCAAACTGCGAGGTATTAGTGATCTCTCAACAGAAACTTCTGGAAAAATGACTGACTTGTGCAGATTTCTTCAAAAACCATTAGCAGCCTCTGTGCCATGTGACAAATTCTGACATTAACTTCTTCCAAAGTTTTGGAGCTAGCTAAGGGTTTTATGCAGGTAATCATACTCACGGACTACACACAAACATGGAAATTCTCTCTTGCTCTCTGCAACTCTCAACATGTTTATAAACTCAATTCATTCTATCAAGACTAAGTATTGCATTCAGCCAGGCTTCCTTGGGCCCTGTCTTTTGCAGCTGCCACAGAAGACACTCTCTCACCTGTCCCATTTGGGACAACAGAACACAACAGCAGCTGCTTGTTCATCAGTTTGTTGTATACAGTAACCCAGAGCATGCAAAGGTACTCCGAAAAATAAGCTGGAAGAAGGAAGTGACAGATGCCAGTGTCAGAATCTAGCAGCATCCATCAGAAGAACAGTAACAGCCAACTTTTCAATAGCAAATAGCTGTTTCCGTGCACTTCTGCATGGAAGCCACAAGAGTACTCTTTAACAGAACTTACTGTAAATAATTTGTAACTGTTCTTATTGTTATCTCACAAGGTAACTGGAATCCAGATTAGAAGGCAAGTGGAAGACATGCTCGTATTGGAAGAGGAATTGTGAGAGAGAGCTTGAACAGAGCAAATACATATGAATTCCCTTAAAGATTTTACTGAATTCTTTGGTTATAGCTGCCATTAGAAAGGTGGACGGAGAACATGCATCTAGTTTTTTATGTCTTAGTGCTACAGATGGCCACATGTCTGCAGACATGCTTCCTGATAAACATATTTATTCAGTCCTTCCCAAAACCAACTGTGCGTCAGTCTGACAGCATGCAGGTTTGTATAACTTAGCATAAAATCATTAAAAATTACAAACAAATTACTCACTCTTTTGTGCTGCCTGGCCAATCTTGCCTTAGTCTCCTCCAGTTCTTTGTGAATCTTCAGAACATGCTTATTCATCTTACGGATTGTGGAATGTAAGATCTCCCAGATATAAAACCTAGGAAAGACACAAAGCTCAAAACACTAGATTACACACTACTTACAGAAAAATCTGTCTGGGGGAATTTAAAAAACTTAGTATCATTTAAGACACCTACTAGAGTGAGCAAACACTCGGCATATAGGAAAGCATACCTGTAATGTAAGAAAGCTTAACAATCATTTCTTCCCTATTTTTTGCAGTATACTTCCAAACCGGCATTGTATTTCATTCATGTACTGCAAGACTACCAACATCAAACTGACTTCTCAGACCAACATTTCTCCCGTTCTCAATGAGCAATGTGTCAATGGCGGTACAAGTTACATACCTCAACCAAAGACCAGGACCACACTAAGCTAGCAGCTATATAATATGCAGCAACAGACTTTGTCTAGAAGTAGTTCCGGTGTTGTTCTGCTTTGGAAGGCCTACAGACTATTTGCAAAATGACATGCTAGCAACATTCTTGCACTGTCACACAAACATTCATACCCCAACTCAGAAACAAAAATGCTAAAGTACATATTTTGTAGAAGGAGCAAAAGCTTAATTGTACCTTTTTCTTCCACCACTCAGTTTTCATAGATGAAACACTCTACTGGCCACTTAAAATAATAATTCAGAGACAAATAACAACCCAAGACAAAATCTTGTTACCTAGTAAAATCATGTGCAAGCTCTGAAGAGAAGATCCAGTTTGCTACTGCAGCACAGTCAACAATTTGTGTCCGAATCATCTTGTCCACAAGCACAGCAATCATCTATATTTTGTGAAAGACATGATAGTCATTCAAAATAAGAAAAGGGCTTGCACACACAATCTGTGTAAAGTGTTCCAGCCTCAGATAAAACCAGAGGTGGTTTGGTGCAGCTCTACGTTAGTGATATTACTGGGTAATTTCAAATACTTTTAGGAAGCTGGGTAGTCTAGCCTAAAACTGCTCAAATTAGGGGATCTATATTACTTACATAAAGCATTCTCATTTTGTTTAACAACCTTTTCTACTTCTTGTGAAAGTAATGTATCACGCTTCGTTAACATACGTATTTCCATACAAAAGCAAAAAATACAAGCATCATAGCTGGAAGTGACGCCTTAGAGACACAAGTCCTAGTATTTGACATCGAAGTACTCAAACCAGAGCACATATACCTGTCAGATCACCAAAATGAAGGAGCTACTGTTAGCCTGCTCTCCTTTTTGCTTAGAGCTGCAACAGAAATAGTCCTGCAACAGTCTTCAAATGTGATAGTAAGCTCTTCTCCACAGGACCTATTCATTTCAGGACAGAGACAGTGCTGTGTAGTCAATGGAAGTGCTTACTTGCTACAGGCACTGCCATCATTCCGGGGGGGTTGCAAGCTAGACCAGGCAACTGCAGAGAGGAGCTACTGACTAAAGCAGTTGCAAGCTGTTCAGAAAAAAGGCTTATCTTAGTTACCCCTGTGCTTGAATGCCACAGTATCTAAGAACCACAGCCTGCACTGTATTTATCCTTACAACCACCCATTGTCAAATAAGGAAGTGCAACAAAGCTCCTTTTAAGGAAAGAAAATTAAAATAACTGAATGAATCATACAGAAGACTCAGCACTCAACTTTCAAGTCCCAGGATAGCATCCTATTCTCTATTTGTCTTTCTGTATTGCCAGGAAGAATTTCTGATTACTGAGCCTGATCTTCCAAGAAACACAGACCTAGGATTTTGGGAAAACATTTCATTGCAATGTTACCGTTTCTCTTTATGAAGTCACCACCACAACCTTACTTATAGGTCCAGTGACTACTGACTCCTATTGCTAAATCACTGTTTGCAGCATAGATCGCTCATTAGCACTATATGCCTTGCAAATACTGCTGATAGTCTGAACCAAATCAAAGGACGTTCCCATAGACATGGGAGTAGGGCGAGCGGCGTGAAAACAGACTCTTGACAAGTGTCCTACTGTCCAGGTACCATTTCTTCTGTCTGCCAGGGAGGCTGTGGACTCAGAAGGAAAAAAACAAAGAAAAAAGAAAAAAAAAGTGCTTGACCAGAAGCAAAAGACTGAACTGCAATAAATGCAAGAGGCAAAAATTTAAGTTCCATGATCAAGCAGAACAGCAGACCTTCATAACTTTTGCACTTGGTATTTTCTAAAGCAATCTTGATTTATTCATAAAAACCTAACATGACTGTTTAGTCTGGGTTTGAAACCTCCATCTCAGTTTGGTCATGCCGCAATACAAAGGAACGAAGAGGAACAGGATACGGATATTAGATTGCAGTAATGTAATTTCTCCTGATCCAGTTAAATGGCAGTAAAAAGTAGGTCAGACTGTAGTTGTCACATTTTCAAGGTCAATAATTTGGGTAGGAAGTTTAATATATTAAAAAATCCTGCTTTTTTGATGTGAGAGGTGACATCTTGCATAGGTATCTTCTAGGTGCTCAGCTTTTCCCCTAGGGAATGGACCACAGGTCCAGTAGCAGATGCAGGGATTACCCCTTCTTCTCAGTGGCATTGCTTCTGAAAGTCTGGGCTACGCAGCTGTGAGGTACGGTCCACTTTCAAGCACAATAAAGTGCAACACAGACACACCAGTAAGGAATACGTGAAATAATTAATGCAGGCAAATTCAGCTTGAGTTCCTTATCGATTTCTATTTATAGAATAATGACAGCTGAGGGAGAAAACAACTGCTGTGAAGAAACTGACAGCTTAAACAACTGAGGCATTTTTCATAGGTCTTTTGGGGTGTTATTTCCTCTGGCTCAAGAATGAACATAATCATGGCACTCTCAGACTGATCTGTTCTGAACAGCCACTGACTGCAGCCCTACTCACTCTGCCCATGCAGAACAGTGACTCCAACATGAGCATTGTGGAATAACTGCATGGCTTTCACTAGTGACTGGAAAAAAAAAAAAGCCATAAAAACCCCCAGGTTTCCACATTTCTAAGAATGTGGCCTGCTTTTGATAGGAGGTCTACATCTTATTTCAATTTACACAGATGTGTAAATTTACACACTGTTTTCCAATTTTGAACAGAAACATGATTTTAGCAAAAGTTATTCTCTCATACGCCAAACAGCAGAGTATGAATCCGAGTCAGAATGACAGCCTTTCCCCTCCCACAATGAACTTTGAGGAAGAAGTAGCCTCACTGATGGTATATATTTTATGCCCAGCCTTCATTTTAGGCACTAGTAACAACAGTAAATACAATTTGAACTTTCCTTCAAATAAGATGGCAATAGACAAATTATTTTTAAAGGATATAAAGCAAACTGTAATGTTTTTTATTAAATACAGCCTCTGTGAGTTGAAACTCACAAAGATGCTTGACACTGCAACCTCTTACCTGTGGATGATTCTTCCAAACCTCATATACAACCCTCAGAACATGGAGTTTCCCCTCATCACTTTCAGCAAGCGTTTTGAAGACTTCATGAAACCTTTTAATAGATGTAAGTAGTCAGTGGAGGGGCTGGAATCAGGTCAAAAGAGCAGCAGATACAAGGCAAGTGGTTTAGATTGTCCAAAAGAAAATTTTGTGACTATCTGCAGCAATTCTTGAACAACTATTCCCTGGAAAATATAACCATCCTGAACCGAAATAGGCTACAAAGACATCACAGCTCCTAAAAGCAACTTAAATCTTAGTGGTGAACCTAGTCCCTGAAGCTGGGCTACATTTCTTATACTCTTAAAAGCAGGAGGCACTTCTATGCTTCATGTGCTTATCTACACACAGCTGGAGCAAAATTTGCTGCCTTTTGAGCCTTAGACCTTCCTCTGATATGTGTTTCCGTAACTTTAGACACTTATCCAATCTGCCTCTTTTTGAAGGAAACGCTGCTAAAAGCCTCTACTTTAGCAGTTACACTGACTGCTACACAGCATTCACAACCCCGCTTATTGTAATATAACGATAAAGCGTAAGAGGCTCTTTTTGATCTCATGGCTGCCAGTGTTGGTGTGCAGCAGTGAAAATACCATGGCTCTAAGTATTCCTATCACCCTGCCTCTTGTCCTACTGACTGCAGGTTACCACCTACAGGTTCTTATCAACATTGCCTCTATAAAAGTTCCCAGGTGCATGTTTTTGGAAGGGCTTTATATATCTTTAAGAACAAACAGAAAAACAACTAATTAAGATGCATGTGACTACCTTTCATGTATCAAGACTACTTAAAAGCAACTCCAAAACACACAGGATTAAAAATTATTTTTAAATGAGATAACATTTTACTAAAAAAGGTGCACTAAATTCTCTAAAAGTTAAAGCACACCTTTAAGGGATGCACTCTGAAGTATTTTAGAATGGATTTTACTGTGCTTTGGTAGATAAAGGAAGTTTACAGGAGACTGCTTTGAAGTTTCATGTTTTCTTTTTCTTTCTTCATTTTTATACAGACTAACTGTTCTAGAGTCATAATCATAGTACAAGATATTGCGGTGGGAGCGACCCAGCCATTCAAGTAAGAAGAAACCCTTGTTCCTCACCAGAATCAGCAAATGAGTAATTCTAAAATGGAGTAATGTTCCAAACCCATCTTATTTGTTTGATTTACATCACATGGCTGTAATGTACAAATTTCTGTTAATTCCAGTCACATACATAACCTAGCATTTACACTACCATTCCTTCAGTAAATAGTGTCATTAGTTCTCCTAATCGTATTGCACTGTGGAGCACCTAAAGCACTGCTGAAGCTTGCAGTCCAGCTCTTTTATCATGCATTTCACTGTCAGAACTAAACAGTTCTATAAGCCCCAAAATAATGCACACATTACACTTACTTGGCCAGGGCACTGAAGGAGTGGCTGAAAGACTTTGCAGCTAGATGGAGCAGAGTCTGAACAAAGACTTCTATTTTCAGAGGGTTGAAGGTAAATCCTTCATCTGCAAGTTATTTAAAGTTGAAACTATAAGTACTTCAAGTAGAGCACGTAAGCTACTCATAAAACTGTAGAGATAACTTATGGTTTTAACTCATTTCACAAAAAAGAGTTTCATCAACAGGGTTTTGCAAGGCTGAGCAGGGAGCTAGTAAAGACTTTCTAAAATGCGCGGATCTTCAGGCTCCCATTTTGCCATGAGGAAAACGTGCAGAAAAAATTCCAGGTCAGTGAAGAAGCTATCAGAGACACAGCCACCCTGCCAACATGTAAGAGCACTGACGGACAGCAGCAGAGAAAGACAGCAAAGGAAACTGCAGAGTTACACACCACGCTGAAGGCCTGGCAGACCATAAAGAAGGGAGAGTGGATGAGGAGAAGGGAAGGTAAGGATGATTAGGGTACAGTGGCTGGCTATTTATGACATGGGAGAAGGGTCCAGCAAGCGTGCATAGCAGATATGGGTACTAGGGGCGCACGGTGCCAAGTCACCTCCTGTAGCTGCAGGTACCTGCAGCTGAAGACAGGCAGGAGGGAGAGCACTCATTAGTGTGTGATGCCTAAAGCAAATTAGGAAACATGACAGTGGATCCCAGGGCAAAAACCAGATTGTTGCTGCTCTCTGTTTGCATAATAGATCACTTGCAAATATTACAGAAATATTGAAACCATCCCCATTGTAAAGACCACTTCTTAATTCTCTGCCTCACACACCTTCTCACCCTGTAAAACACAGAGGCTTTAGAAATCAATGCTGTCCGTGGCTGCAAAGCTAAAAAGAACATGAGTGGAGTCCTATCGTGAGTTTGTATCTGTAGAAGACTACAGGCAGCACGCTGGCTATCTTATCTGTCGTGGAACTGCACCGAGGGGAGGGAAGCTCTCAGACAGGGCACAAGCACTGAATCTCAGGCATGACGATAACAGCATGAGCTGCACTCTGTTGCTGAAGGCAAAGGAAATGTTAAATTCTTTCATGCTTCCTCTGTCAATAATCACAAGAAAACACATCTCAAGCACCAGGTTACTTCTGTTAAGAAAAACAGGCCTGCCTCTGCATGCAAGATGTTTACAACAAACCCTAACAATGGTGTATCATTTCCATATACTGATAAATTGAAACCAACTATTAGAAGGAAAAGCATACAGTTCTATTAACCACCACACCCATAGCTCCAAAGGATGGCAGATCAGTCTACACACAAAAGAAACTACAGCCTGCCAAAGCCTAACAGCATATATCTTACCATCATCATCATCCTGGTTTGGATTAGGCACGTCTTTTAAAATGCTGAAGATTTCATCATTACTGGCTTTGTTTTTAATTGCGATTGTTAAACAAAGTGCCACAGTATATCCAGGAAGAGACCCTAAACAAAAGCAGAGAGGTCAAAAATATGTAGAAAGCAAGTGAGTACATTTAACATCAGTTTGCCTCTCAGAGAAACAAGTACACTTCCCAGCTACACCTAAAACCAGCTGTTTCCAACATCATTGTCCACACCACTATGCCATAAAACTGCTCAACACGTTTCCTGGTTTTCACATTAAATTCAAAACTTACAGTAGAACCTTTAGAGCTGAGGTCAGGTCATCATTCTCCTGTCTAAAGCTCTACTTCAGCTTCCACCAATTTCCTAAAAATGCAATACTTCCTTGTTTTTCCTCACTGTATCTTTGAAGATGACACTTTTATGCTTAGGATTGTCTTTATACTGAGTAAAAAAAGGAATAACAAGGTATCTCTCTACCTCAGTCTTCACATTATCTGCTGCCTCTGTGTGCTTCATTAAACAAAGTTTACTGGCAAAATCTTCTACTGTTTCATGAAGTTCAAAAAATAAACCCACATTATGACTTCGTATGCTGACTTTTGCATAGTATTGTGCCCAAACACGGGAAATAGATGAATTTTCCAATTTTACACTTCTGGCAAACAATGCTGCACAACATTACAACCACTTCAGCAAGAGTAACTTCATGTATCTGGATTTTCTTTTCTTCATAATGTAACAAAAACGATTATATTACAGAGATCCAGGCTTAATATATATTACTTGCTCACGTGAAGCATATTTACCCATAAAAAAATCATGCATATATATTTCAGCTGTATTCTTCTTTATGAAGACAACTGATATTACAGTCAATCTAGTGTGCTGCCTTGCTCTGAAACGTTATTTTTTTCAACTTGACCCCTCAGTAACTTTAATACTTACTATTACTTTCATCTCCATATTTGTAAATGCACACTGGATTAGCAGGACTGAGGACAGAAAAACTTGCAGGAACAATGTCTATTATTCGTTGATGGTAGGAGAGTCTGGAAATAAAAAGTTTCACAGCAGTAGAGTTAAAATGGAAATAACATCAGGGCTAATTCTGAAGTGACTGCTTTATCACGGTTTTCCTGTATTTAACTTTCATAGAACAAAAATCAGGGTGTTTATACAACAGAATGGTAGTTTCTGCTGGGTAGTAAGAGCTAATTAAACCAAACTTACTAGTAGATGCTTTCTATCTGAACTCTTTGATGTAGAGTTTCATCCTCATACAATTAATTTAGCTTGTAAAAAGATTTAGAGGCTGTCTGGTAGGATGTTTTATGCAAAAGCCTAAGATGCGCTGCAGAAAACTAGTAAGACGTTGGTATTCAAAGCAGAAAAAAAAAAATTAAACTGGATGTCTTCATTTTACTTCCCAGCTTATTTCACTCCCACAAAGGCTTAATTTTGCTACCAGAGTTTTCAGTGAAATGGAACAGTGCCACAGAAAAATTACATTCGTTCTGCAGCATAATACTTTCACACTTCCTATACTGAATTCACCCAAAAACAGATGAATGTGTCCATGTAGGATGCTGAATAACACAGGCTTTTTGAACATCTTGCTCTTTCTCCCTCCTATATCGCTCTATCTCAACAATTGTAAGTTCAGCCCTGATTGTGTACTCCTGTGGTTGGGTTTGGAGTTTTTGTTTGGAGGGTTCTTTTTTGTTTGTTTTAAGGTCAATGAACATCAGAGACACCTAGAAGAATCAAGATTAGATTCTCAGTTTTTAGTGTAACTAATGATCAGTTCCCTCCATTTCTGTGAATGCCGAATACTTTCCAGGAATATTGCCTAAGCTCTATTTTACTTTCCATACCTATGGTGACGCATGTCTTTTTTTGTAACTACAGGTGTGCATACCTGGGATAGACAGCTTACTACCATCTGCTCCACCTGTTTCTCCCTCTCTCTAAAATAGTGTCCTAAGTGTCCTACAACAGGTAAACCAGATTAAAATCATACAAACAACAGACTCATCTCTTAACTGAAACTGAACTGTAAGAACAGACGTGCCTAAGACAAGAGTCAAGTTAGAACGAATTTGACAGTATCCAGAAGCAAAGATCAAACTTTGCCTTGAATGCAACTATCAAAAGATCTTACTTACCGCATGCACTTTTCCAAAACCTCTCTCACAAATTTGGGTTTGGGCTTTTCAAGGTCCTGAGTAAGACAATCTGACCTATCAAAGGACAGAATGCAATAGCTTTTAGCAAAAGAATTTGTGCTTTAGTCTCTTTTTGGCTTGGTCTAATAGGTACAAAACAATCACGATCTAAGGACGACTGGAGTGCTTGACACTTAGTTTTACGGTGTAGGCAATTTTAAGACAATGAGGTAAGTTTATCACCATTTCCTTATTGGCCATTAGCATTCTTGGAATCTCATCTCTGTGTGATATATTTTCAAGTATCTTCCCTTCCCCCACCAGATTAAAAATAATTTGTGCTTACAGTTAGCTGGCTTCCCCTTTCCTTAGGAAAGGAACCTTATGTGATTTCATAGTCTGTTCCTCCCTCACAGGAATTTTTGAACTTCTGGCTGATTTCAAACGCACTTCAGATAAAGAAAAGTCTCAAATACAGTCACTTGCGGGATTTGTGAAAAATGGCAGCTTGTGAGAGAAACCCACGGAGGTACTGCCATCAAGGAACATCCAGGCAAAGACAAATCAGCGCTTTGAAGACTGCTGCCTGATCAGTCAACATGGATGTACACTAGGATAGCCAGCAAGCACTTAACTCCACATGATGACAACACAAGAAACTGAAGTAAAGCCACAAAAACACATCACAAGAAGGGCTACATCCCTTTCCACAAGGCCACTTCGGCAGATCAGCTATGGAAAGCATGTAAGGTAGCAGGCTGTGGAAGTTCCCATAGGGAGGACTTAACGCCGAGGTGATTTCTCTTGCTACATGGGTGCCTGGAATGGAAAGCTCAGGGGAACCTGTGATTAGATACTGATGGACTCCAGGGAGCTCCTGCTAGAGATGCAAGTTCAAGATTTGGCACGGTAAGAACAGATGGCAGGGCCAGCTCTGACGGTACTTTGGGTGCTAGGATTTGGCAGGAGGGAAACAGGTCACAAGGATAAAGGTTATAATGAAAGGTTTAGGGTAGGACAGAGAGCAAGATTACAGAATGAATACAGGATACCAAGAGTCAGGGCAAATCATTAAAAGTAAATTGGGGACCCATTTTAGAAAATTTGCTAGCAACTGATTGAGGGTGCAGGACAAATTGAAGAAATCACGTTTCAACTTCCCCTGTGTAGGGA